AAGGCTGGGTTAGCTGCGGCCCTCCCCCTCGCGCCCCGCCCCCACCCAGGACACCGCTGGCTTGCAGGGACCCCTGGTCTCCGGGAGTCCAACTTTCCACTGCCCGGATGGGGACACTGAGGCGCTTGCTGGCACCCTGCCAGGCGGAGGAAAGTGAGAGGGCAGAAAAAGGAAGGGGGATGCAGGGGAGGTGACCTGGGATTCTGTCCTGAGCCCTGCCGCCCAGAACCTCCCGAGGCCTGGGCTGCCACAAGGGCTGGTTTCCCTGGGCTTGGAGAGGCGGCCAGGCCTTGTGGGTTTCAGGAAGCACCCTGCACACCCTCCCCTCACTCAAGCCTTTCCCTCCATCCCAGTCCCTAGACAGAGGGTAAGGTCAGTGGGGAGCCAGTGGGGAGCAGGCAGGAGCACTTGGCAGGTTCTAGGGGTCCCCAGCTTGCGTGTCCTAAGGCCGAGAGAAGCTGAGGGCCAGGAAGCTGCTGGAGGAAAGTGAGTTATCCTTATTCTGTCCCTGCAGGGCCCTAGGCCACAATGACCCTCAAGGGGACACTTCCTCTGTTCGCTTTCAGGGGCTCATGGGCTCACTTTTCAGGCCCTAGTGAGCCCAGTTCCCAGACCCACACCTCCCTGTGTTCCATCCCTCCCCTGCCACAGGGCTCCACAGACAAAGGATGCTGGAGCCAGTGACTCTGAGGTCTGCGAAAGAAGGGACAGAGACAGGGTTAGACCCGACTAGGCCCAGGGGCAGGGGCAGAGGTGGAGAGGAGCCCCGGGGATAGCTGGGGACCAAGGGGGGAGGGCAGGGCTGGGGGCTGAGGGAGCAGCACTCAGTTATGGGGTGGGGTCTAGAAGGTCCCACAACCAGGACAGCCCCTCCCACCAAGGTCTTACCAGGGTAAGAAGCTACGTCTCATTAGCCCAGGCCAGGCAGGATAGGAGGTGAGAGAGCTACCTGCCTCGGGCCAGCGGTTGGCTCGGCTGCCAGCTGCTTCCGACATTCGACACTTTCATTTCATTTTTGCCATGTGGGGCTTGGACCCAGGGCTGCACCCCAGCCCCACGAGGGTTTTAGTCTTTACTATATTCAGATTCAGACAGAAAGGCCTGTTCGTATGAACCAGACCAGACCTCATGTGGCCTTTTGCCACTGGTGGTGCTTGCAAAAACTTTATGAGTATACCGAATAAGAACCATTAAATTGGACATTTTATTTCTTTGAGACAGGGTCACTATGTAGTTCAGGCTGACCTTGAGCTCTATAGCCCAGGCTGGCCTGAAACTCAATCCTCCGCAATCCTCCTGCCTCATCCTCCAGAGTGTTGGGATTACAGGTGTTTGACACCACCCTCAGCTGAATCAGACATTTTAAATGGGTGAATTGCATATTTTTTAAAAAACAGAAAAAGCTCCCATAAGACATGCCTACTGCCCAACTCACCTGTGCCCAAGTCCCCTGCTGAATCGGCATGTTCCTGGAGGGGCCTCACAGGTGGTGGTGAGGTGACACCCTCCGCAGAGGCAGGGAAGGGGCACACTCCACATCCGGAGCTCTTCCTTGAAGTTGGGGGTACGCATCTGGACGATGCTTCTATAAATACGGTTTCTGTGCCTGGAAGGCCCTCGTGTCTGTGGTTTACAGTCTACAATAAGCCATAACTGCACGCCCGGCCCAGGTCCCACTGAGTCACTGGGCCTGGCCCTCTAATTTGGAGGCCACTCCCAGACCAGCCAGGCAGCACCTCAGCCCCTGGGCCTGCCCCATCCCTTCCCCAACCTGGTCCTCAGCTCTCTTTGCAGCACAGGGACATGGAACGGCGTGTCCCATCCCTGCAGCAGCTACTGGTACCCCTGCCCTCTGGCCTTGATGGGCTGAGAGGAGGTTGAGGGAGGGCAGCTGGGGTGGGGGAGGTAGGAAGGAAGGGCAGGTGTTTTCTGAGGCCCCCAGGCTCCCAAGGGGGAGGCCAGGCACAGCTGTCTCCAAGGGGCGGTGCGAGGAGGGGCAGAGCTCAGCCCTCCTTGGCTGGCCAGCCCATGTTCGACTCTGGGACAGGCCCCGGAGCCCTGGCTCGGACACTTCTCCAGGGGCTGCAGAGAGTCAGGCTACTCTGCCATCACCGGCCTGCCGCACCTTGCCCATCTCTCCGCCTGGGAAGCCCCTTCTACTGCATGATGACACCAGGGACTCGGGCTGGGCAGTTGGCTTGGGCTTCTAGGAAAGGCTGTCTTGCTCTGGGCACCTGCCTGCCCAGGCACCAGGCTAGGCTGAGCCCAGGGCAGGTGTTCATGGGGCCAGGGCCAGGCGTGCAGAGGGCTGGGGCTGAGGCAGGGGTGGAGGGAGGGGCCCACAAGGAAGGGGCTGGGTGTAGGGGGAGCTCAGCCAGCTGCCACCCCTTTGGCTTCTATGTGCAGGCTGCAGCCTGTCCTCCCAGCAGCTGGCTTGCAGCTGTTTGTACCCTAGCTTCAAAGTTAGAGGGGGAAGGCCCAGGAGAGAAGCGGGGTACACAGGGGACAATCTGGGAAGCCTCTGGTCCCCTTTGAGCACACAGTGCTGGCCTTTGGGAGGGCAGGGCCTGGGAACCTGAGAGGCGGCCTGTCATGCAGAAGTGGCAGCTGCTTGTTCTGTGAGTTTCTGGGGCCTGGAAAGAAGGACCATCCGGGCCTGGGCTTTGGGGGCCTCTGCCAGCCTCCTGGCCTCCCTCTGTCCTGTTCCCTGCCTGGGTCTCCCTGGCAAATGGCTGTTTCTTTAACCCTGGTGTGACTGCTTCCCATCTGTTCCGACAGCGTGGGGGCCGTGGAGCCAGAGGGGAGTCCTGGGAAACAGCAGGGGCTGCCGTGCTCAAGGTGGGCAGGCAGAAGCCCTGTTCCCTGGGGCGTGTGCTCTGCTGCACCGTGAGCAAGGCCCAGCCTGAAGAAGCAGAACAGGGGGACCTGGATGGAGGGACCAGGAGGGTTCCAGAGGAGGGGCTGTGCTGGGGGCTCCTCCAAAGCCAGCCCAGAGCAAGGGGTATCTCCCACAGGGTCATCTGCATACTTCAGCCTCTGGGCCAAATGCTCATCCAGGGACACTTCTGAGCATGCTCAGAGTGCCCCTAAGTCCCGTCTTGCTTGGACCTCCTGCCCAACCCATCACCTGCACTATCAGTGGCTGGGCAGGGAGGGACCAGCCAACACCAGACCCACAGACTCCAGAGGGCAGCCCACCACCACTTGGTCACTCGAGTGGCCTTCGAGTGATGACTTGGGGCCAGGACACTCCCTGGGACTCTCTGGTGCAAGGGATGGGGCCGACATGCCCAAGAGTGGCTAAGGTGGTGCTGGTGAGCCGAGCCTCCACCATCTGGAAGCTTCCAGCGCTGATGGGCCAAGCGTGGCTGCTGAGAGCTGGCGGTCTTCAGGCCAGGAGCTTTTTTTGACCTTCCCCTGAGGACATAATCACACAGCATCTCTCCCCTCAGGCCACCAGGGCTGTAATTTCAGGGCCAGAGGGGGGCTCCTGGGGGCCTGGCCTGTGTCTAGCTATCTTTAGAGGCATGGAGTGGGCGTGACTACAGCAGGGGACAGAGCCAGTGGCTGTACCCTCGGAGCTGGGGAGCCAGAGAGTGGCCTGGAGCACCCGGGACCTCACGCCCTTCCCTTAGGCCAGGAGTGCAGCTGCGGCAGCGGCACAGTGCTGTCTGTGGCCTGCGGGGCTGGAAGGAGCAGGAGGGTTTAGGCCTGCGCCCTGTTCCCAGCCCTGACTCCAGCCTGAGGTCTGGGTGCCCAGCTCAGCTCAGTGTCTCCCAGGTTGTCCCCGTGTGCTACTTTGGTGGCAGAGGCTATGAGGCTGGAGGGAGGCTCGGAGCAGAATGTAGGAAAGGCTGGACAAGGAGGCCTGTGGGCCATAGAGAAGTTTGGAGGCTGATGGGACTAGGGCTGGGAGCAGGGTTACGAGGTCCCCCTGAGGTCCTCGTCAGGAGACACAGGCCCAGCTCAAAGGAGTACAAGGCTCGCTGTCCCTTTCTCCACCCCCATCACCTCAGCACCCCTTCTCAGCCTGGGACTGGGTCCCATCCCAGGCCCTGCTACCCTGTCATCCCCACCCTGCTCACTCAGAGGTCCAGCCCTTTGGGGCTACTTGCTGGACACCCTTGGATGGAGCCAGCACCTGCCCAGAAGAGGAACACAGTGCCCGCCTTCCCCACGCAGACACGAGGGGGCCGTGGCCACCAGGAAGATGGAAGTCACATTTGCTCCTGGGCTGAGCTCCACGTGGGAATGTCCCTTGCAGTGCTGGTCTGGACTAGGGTGGCTGGCTGCCAGCTCACCCCTCCTACATTGTCACAGGCTTGAGCTCCAACCCAGCCTTGAGCTCCCGGCCCTCTTTGGCCTTACATGAAGGGGGCATCTTTGTCTCAGCCATGCCCCTTTTGCTAGTGGTGACCTGGGGACATGCAGGCCTGGTCCCCTTTTCCAGCTCAGGGCCAGCCTGGCTCCAGACTGCCCAGCCCTAGGGTGCATCAGTGTGGCTGCAGCCCCTCTTCTCCCTCTGCAAGTGGCAGCCCCAAGACCCCCCTGTGAATTTCCCTGATTCAAATCTCTGGCCTCGGAGGAGGGAAAGTCAGAAGGGTAATCCCTTCCTGAGGCTCTGCTCCTCTGTAGTAGCCCAAGGCCAAGCCCTTCCTGTTTGAGAGGTAGAACTGAGCAGGGAACCACACGTGAGATGCCGGTCCCCCAGTCCGCCTCTCCCTGCCAGGGGCCCTTCTCTCCCCTCCTCTTGCCATGTCTAGGGCAGGAGCTCTGAACTCTGGGGCTCTGAAGAGGACAGGGACTGGAGGGAGCAGGAGGCTGTTGCAGGAGGGGCTG